CGTATGTATTTTTCTGTGTCTGCATTATTTTATTTAGGAAAATGTCTTCCACATTCAACCACATTATCCCAAAGGCAGGATTTCCTCCCTTTTTAAGGCTAAATAGTATTTCAATGTGTATATGTATACCACATTTTCTTTATTCATCTGTCAAGAGACACTTAGGCTGTTTCCATCTCTTGGCTGCTGTGAATTATGCTTCAGTGAGCATGGGAGTGTAGCTATCTCTTCAAGGTACTGATCCCATTTTCTTTGGATATATACCCAGAAGTAAGATTGACTGGTCTTATGATAGCTCTATTTTATATTTTTTGAGCAACCTCTGTACTTTTTCCAAAATGGCTGTACCTATTTACATCCCCAACAATGTGCAAAGGTTTCCTTGTCTCCACATCATCACTAACTCCTGTTATCTCTTGTCATGCACACCTGTTAGGATGGTTGTCATGAAAAAGATAAGAGATAATAAGGAGAATTTTATTTTTCAATGGAAGAGTATTAACCCACAGTCATTTTTATCAAATAAATTTCATCTAACTTATTTCCATTTTTCTTCTTTTATATAAAAGTCTGTTTTAAATTCAATTTTTATCCTACAAGGTATTATGTATCCTTCTGGCTTTGGAATTCTCTAAAAGGGGTCACACACTCAATTTAGTAAAAAAAAAAAAAAAAAAAAAAAAAAACGGGTTGTTCACTTCTGAGTATCATCACTAACAAAGTACCATGTTGTGCTTGCTGAACACTACCTGGAAGCATAAGGGAAGTTTGGGCACATAGAATGTAATTATTAACCTGAGTTGGACTTTACCTAGAACACTGGACCTACATCCTTCTACTTCCCCTGCCCCTACTTGTGATCTGTGCTTGTCATAGCACAAGTCCTCAGGACTTTAAATGCCCATCAAGAGACACCACCTTAGAAACATATTACAACCAAATGTTGCAGCTCCCTTCCTGAGAGGTGTCAACATGTTCTTTTTGTTAAATAGATCACCAACTGCCATACTACGTATGTCCAAAAACATTCTATGCCATATGTTCAGAACAGTGCTGGACCCTATGTGCAGCACAGAAGTATACAAAATAAAGAACATATCCATATCCTCATGGAACTTACAACCCATTTAAGAAAATGGCTTATGAGAACAACAAAAAACATTACAATAGCTACCAGTTATACTAAAGAGATGTCAGGTGCTATGTTAAGTCCTTTATACCTATTTTATAGGACTTACTTTATACTTCATGTATTGTTTACTCAAAGCAAGTTGTTTAAGTTAGGGGTTATTTTCCTGATTTTTTTTAAAAGGAAACTCAGGTGCCCAGCACAGTCTAACCAGATTTCGGTAACTACAAAGCTCACACTGTAATCACCATACTATATGGATTCTCAATGAGTATATTATCAATAAGATGCTAAATTGTAAGACACAGATAAAAGCTAAGAATGGCAAAGAGTGAAAAGGGAATATATTGACTAGAGGTCACAGGATGAGGTGTTATGAGGGAGGCTAGACTTTGACTTTAAAGAATGATTTAAGTACACAAAAAGAAAGGGGCTGTATATTCTAAATACCAAGTTATACAAACCTTGTGCAAAGGTCAGAAGGCAAGAAAAGCATGTCATGATCAGAGAGACAAGAATCAGTTATGTGATATGTTCCAACATGGATGCAGGTCTAAAATATTTTAATTTTTCATATTTTCATATCAATGTGCAAATATGCTTTAGTCTATATAATGTTCAACTCAATAATGTCTAATTTATTTCAAAAGAATAATTTATTTCAAAAGACTTCAGAAGCCTCTAGAAATGGATGTGTTTTATAATGTTATTATAAGTTTTAAGGGTAAAGAGAGGAATGAATTACATTAGTCTACCTTATTTTATTATCAAACCTTATTTAGTTTTACTCCACAAAATGAAAGCTCTAAGGAAATCTCTTGATTTATAAGCACTCAAATTAATACATGAATCTGGGGTCGATATAATAGCTGGAACTTGCTATTACCATTCCTATGTCACACCAACTAGGACAATGAAAACCAAGCAGTCCAAACAGATAAACTCCAAGACTAAATCTGCCTTTCTATAGTAAGAACCAAAAGAGTCTCCAGGTTCTCCAGTTAATCCTGCTTTGTCATCCATTTACTTCCGGCTGACTCATTCCCATAAACCCGCCACCTTACCTATCACAGCCTCCTCTCATCTTTTTCAACATTTGTCTTTTTGATAGCAGGAAAATGGAGAGATGCTTGTGCCCTGACCCAACAAAGCTGATGCACTGGCACTCACTCTTTTAAATAAATAAATACTAAGTTCAGAAACTTGGGAAAGAAAGCACGTTAAACCTCAGAAAAACAGAGGTGAGAGAATGGAGCTATGTACTCCAGTAGTCTACCTGGTGCTGAGAAAGAAATCTCTTAAAAGTGATGTCAAAAATATCATAGAAGGGAACAGAAAATAAAGCCTAATGAATAACTCCAATAAAATAATTATAGTCAATTCATTGGACATCCATAATTCAGAATTAACACTGGCAGTTTCTGATTGTTTTAAACAAAATAGAAAGAACAATAAAACATGTTAGGAGAAAACCTCGATAATACATAGGGCAAGGTACAATCTCTCCGCCCTTGGTATCCAGGAAGCCAAAGGCTTATGCTCTTTTGAATTTTAAATGTGTAGCAAAACACAATGATTTTAATTGCCTATAATCTGAGGTCAAACCTTTTGGCATGGTTCTTTGTTCACAGCAACAACAACACCAATAATATTTACTGAGCATTTGCTATGAGTCAGATAAGTTGTGAGCACAGGAGAGCATACAGCATTAAAGGTGACAGACAAGGCCCTGTCCTCATGGAGCTTATGTTCTGTCCCAATGCAGAATGATAAGTAAGATTAAACCAGAGAACAAATCATGACTAATTCTCTAATACCAAGAATACAGCCTTATAAAGAGAAAACTTTCTTGCTAAATTAGCAGTTTTATAGAGACCTGAATCTTTTCCATTAGAAGAAAAACACTTTCTAGTGTGCACTTAATCAGGTTTTGGAGATTTAAAGGAATAGAATGAGAGATAAAAGATAAAGCCCACCAAGCTAGAGAAACGCTAATGTTCTGACCCTTTGACCCTGCCCATCAAGAAGACACAACACTCCAGGTTTGGAGTCAGACTTAATTTAGATTTGAAGCCCAGTTTCATGCCTTATTAGCTCCATGACCTCAGGCATGTTACTTAACTTTCTTAACAGTTCTCTCATCTGTAAAATGGTGCTAATAAAAGCCACCCCACTGTATTGTTATAAGCATTTAAAGACTTCATAAATGTTTAAAGCATACCATGTGGCATATGCTTTTAATTTAATAAACAGTATAGATGATTTATATATGCATATATATATACTCACACACACACACACTCCATGTGTTCTTTCCTTCATGCACATATAATTTACCCATCTATCCTCCATGACATTCTCCCAGAGTTCTATCCTTCTGCCCTTGAGGCATTTACCTTCTTCCAAATTCACAATTAGCTAATAAAAGAATCCAATCACTGAAAATGTGTTAATAAGAAAGGATAACAGAAGCATACAGTGACTACTGCCTGCCAGCTCAAATACCCCTCCATGGTAAGATACGGTTCTGAAAACAAAACTGTACTAAAAATTGCATAGCTCAGAGGAGTGACTGGTGTGAATGCTAAGCAGCATTCTCTGGGTTTCTTGCAGTAACCATCAAGTGCTAATACTTAAACCATCATTAATTCTTTTTAAAAACAAAATTTAAATGGATACTGTATCCTTTTTCATGTAAATTAAAGTATGTGCAAAAATAATGTATTTGCCCTGGAACATTCTATAAAACAAATATAACCCCTAGGAAAATAGGGCCATAGAAAGGTTAAATGTCCATGTAACATCTGTGATAGAGCAATACCTAGAACACAATTCTCTTTTTCACCCAATGATTTTCGACCATATCATGTTGACTTAATGAGATTTTAGCTAAATATAGAAAATCCTGCTTTGAAAACCTGTATCCAAAAGGATCTAAAACTTGTGAATTAGGCAATAGCAAAAATGTCACACCCTTTGCTATGCTAAGAGGAAAGTCTCTCAAGTGATCGACTCGATGCCAGGCCATGCAAGTCAGACATTTAGTCATTTTTCTAGACGCTATCCATCATTGAGCACATTCCTGAATTTCATGCAACTTAATTTAAACGTCTAACTGGCTATACAGATGGGAATAAACCTTTGAGAAAGTAAAAGCTTGACAATGCTGACACCTAGTGGCTGTGAAGAAACTGGAGTGGATTCAGCCTAGGAAGAGTAGTACAAAGCACGCAGCATTTAATCATGATGAATATTAGGTTATAAAATACCAATTCTCAAACAAACCCTATAAAAGTTTATTTTAGCTCTCTATTTATCTCTGAGCCTACAAAAGGAGGCGATAAAAAACTTGCATCTGAAAAGTAAATTTTCCTTCCAGTTCCACACTTAGCAAATTACTTATCTTCAAAGATCAAAGAAAAAACTACAAACCAATTTATATTTTGGCATATTTATGACTATTTTCCTTAATGTCGCATGTACACCCACAACCTTATCTTGGTCTTCAGGTGACTTTTCTCCCTGGGTCAAATATAAAAGCCATCTGGCCAAGCCATTATAGAGATTCCCTTTATACCACTGAAGCATCCCTAGTCAAAGGATGGCTGGATCTTCACAAACCAGCAGGAATTTTCCTTAAGGGAGGCGTAAGGACACATGTGGAAACCCCTAAAGTATACATCTAAAAGCAAGGACAGCATTGAACACTGTGGGAAGCCGTATGAACACAGCAGATCAGCACAGCACAATCTATTTCTACTCTAACCATTAGAAGGTAAGTTTCCTCAGACCCACCTGCACCTCTGACAGGCAGGATAGCAGGAAGCCTAAAGTGTTCATCTCCTCCACCAAGGAGAGCTCTGAATCCTACCTGCTGACGTTTGAAGGCTAAATAATCCAAATTTTCCAACTCCTTCCCAAGCTTCTGGTAGGTTTTCTGGAGGTCAGATTTGTTGGCAATATTTTTGAGAGACTCAAATGTCCTTTGAAACTGAAATTGAAAACAAAAGCAGATCATTAGGATAGCAGCATATTTTTCTCAAATTCTCAACTTGATAACACAAAGAGTCGATAATGAGCCTCAGTTTCTCCCATTCATAATACAGTGGTAACAAATGCTGGCTAATTATTGTTTAATGAAAAATTAGGGATACTTATAAAGAGTTATAAATCATATTCTAAGTATAACCAATGTTATTGCAGGAATGAGAAGCCTGGCTTAGTCCTCATTCTAACAAAAGAGCATACTTCATTTAAAAAAAAAGAAAAACTTCATCTTTTAGGATACACTTCTGCTTTTAAATTTTAATAAAACAGTACAGTGCATGTATAATTTCAAATCATAATGAGGAAGCATTAAAAAGTGATTACATTTCAATCATGGAAACAAATTTTTGAAAAGGTAGTTGCTTACATGATATTTTGCTATATTGATATATGATCTGGCTTGCCTCTAGAAAAACATCTATGCAGAATAGGTCACCCAACAAACTTCAGCAAGAAAGATCTTTCAGAGCTTGTATTTTGAGAAGGAAGAAAAACTTAACATTTTGATGATCAAAGCATAAGTGGTATGTTCAGCAAACATTTATTCATTTCTGCTCTAAAACACAGATGAGCTACGAACAGATGAGTTATGATCAGAAAGAGAGTTCTGATCAATTCTGCTGAATCAAAATGCTCCCATTCTTTTTAAATCAGATCCTAGATAAATACAAAGGTGAAAAACTGCAATGAATCACAGTCTGCTACTAATAATTAATTAAGCAAAGGAAGCTCACAAGAAATTGGATTCTTGGTTTATTTTAGTAAATTAGAACATACTTTGGAGGGTTAGTGATTGAAAATGTCAAGTAATGTAATTAGCAAGACATTTGCATTTGCTTTCTCTTTCTGTCATTTATTTCCCATATTCTCACTCTGTACCATCAGACAGATTTCTACAGATAGAGACTTCACTGTCTTAAACAAACCAGAACTCCACTGTGACTATGATGCCATGAGACAAGCTAATAAGATTTTATAGAATATAATTAATTTTCCAGAGAAATGATTTGACCCTTACTATATCAAACTCTATGAAATAAGTCATATTAAAATGGCATTCTACTGAATTAAATCCCTAATTTCATGAAAGCAACATGTTTATCTCAATCTAAGGTGACAGAGGAAAAATAAATGGGAAATAACAGTGCTAAGCTCCCATGGCAGGACAGTAAATTAAACTCAACACGTACTCATTTAGAACCTACTATGCACAAGGCCCTATGACTGTAAAAGACATTTCCTTCCCTGAAGGAGCTTAGACCATTGAGAAACTAGACATGAAATTCGGAAATGAGATGGACACTGACATTTACTGAGTGCCTGCTCAGCCCCCGGTACTTTATGCTTTCAAATTTAATCTTCACAAGAACCAGAGGAGTTCTTATTTTTCTTTTCATTCTACAATTGAGTAAAGTGGGATTCAGAACTTTTAACTAAACAGGGTTTTACTACAACATTCATGTTCTTTCTACTCCATCCTTAATTCTAACACAAGGCAAAATAGTAAAGAGAGTCCAAAAAAAGATAAAGGTAACATTGGTGAAAACTCAGAAAAACTGATACTGACTGAAGGACTCAGACCACATAGAAGACCTAAGAGAATCTGAATTGGGCCCCAAAGGACAGGAAGTCTTTTCAGAGTCTGACATACACACCAATTCCACCCATTACTTTAAACACAGCCAAAATCAGTTCATTTTCCCCCACTTGTAACAAAATAAATAAGTTCCTTTCAACATTATTGATCTTCATGTGAAATATTTATCATATTATATGATCATTTCTGTGCCTTGCCCATTTCTTGGTTTATTCTATGTTCAAATCAAACTAAAACCTTATCTAAGATTCTAATAAAATTAAGTAATTTTATCTATGATTTCATTAATACAAGCTATTTTACCGACAAATCCATTCAACTCTAAAGCATGTTTTAATCCCTGCACTTTGTCTTCCCTAGGAAATATTAGCTCTACTTCTTAAATATTTCTTCTTCATATTTATCTCTGTGAACTTTATACAACTCCAAATGGAATCTTAAGAGCAAACACACCTGTAAAAACTGCTCAAAATAATAAAAACAGAAAACCAACACTTCCAAATAATATGTCCATGGCCAAAGAAGAAATGGAGAAAATCCAATAACAATACATCATCACAAAAATGTTCTAACTGAAGGGTCAGAGTTTGCATAATATGGAGATTTTGGCTTGAACTTTTGTTATCAGGAATGATATCCTCCATTTACTAGAAATAAAGAGTTCAAAACACTCTAAAACCATGATAATTTCATTCATTTAAGCAGTTTTTGCTTATAACAATTGTCAAGGAGAGGGCATACAAAACCCGTGATATAGCTTTGGCTTAGCTCCCTATTAAACACACCCCATCCCCATCTGTTTACATGAACACTAAAAGATACTAAAGAGTAAAAGCAAATAGTAAATAGTCTTACTTTGCTGAGGTACGGAAGATAAAAGTTAGGTCAAGGTCTAGACTTTAAAAAGCATACACTTGCTGTACAGAATCTCTGGAGTTTAATTACAACTATCATTAGAGTGAACTGGCAACAAACAGAATGGGAAAAAAATTTTGCAATCTACCCATCTGACAAAGGGCTAATATCCAGAATCTACAAAGAACTAAAACAGATTTACAAGAAAAAGAAAAAAAACATTCAAAAGTGGGTGAAGGATATGAACAGACACTTTTCAAAAGAAGACATTTATGAGGCCAATAACATATAAAAAATGCTCATCATCACTGGTCATTAGAGAAATGCAAATCAAAACCACACTGAGATACAATCTCACACCAGTTAGAATGTCGATTATTAAAAAACCTGGAGACAACAGATGCTGGAGGGGATGTGGAGATATAGGAACACTTTTACACTGTTGATGGGTGTGTAAATTAGTTCAACCATTGTGGAAGACAGTGTGGCGATTCCTCAAGGACCTAGAAATAGAAATATCATTTGACCCAGCAATTCCAATACTGGGTATATATCCAAATGATTATAAATTGTTCTATTATAAAGACACATGCACATGTATGTTCATTGTGGCACTGTTTACAATAGCAAAGACTTGGAACCAACCCAAATGCCCATTGATGATAGACTGGACAAGGAAAATGTGGCACATATACACCATGGAATACTATGCAGCCATAAAAAACTGTAAGTTTGTGTCCTTTGTAAGGACATGGACAAATCTGGAAACCATCATTCTCAGCAAACTGACACAAGAACAGAAAAACAAACACCTCATGTTCTCACTCATAGGCGGATGTTGAACAATGAGAACACATGGACACAGGGAGTGGAGCAGCACACCCTGGGGTCTGTTGGGAGGGAATAGGGGAGGGACATTGGGGGGTAGGGAGGTTGGGGAGGGATAGCATGGGGAGAAATGCCAGATATAGGTGGCGGGGTGATGGAGGTAGCAAACCACATTGCCATGTATGTACCTATGCAACAATCCTGCATGTTCTGCACATGTACCCCAGAGCCTAAAGTATAATAAAATATATATATTATAAATAAAATAAATATTTTAAAACTATATATTACATAAAATTATATATATATACATTTTATATTATATATATATAATATATATATATATATAATTATCTTACCAGAAGGAAAAAAGCATTCACTTGGCTTCAAGATTTTTCTAATAGGCCACAATGCTTAATCATTGAAACAAACCTCCAAGATTTTCTATATTTGTTCAGTACATGATAATTTTCTTATATTGATTATTTCTCCAAGTAAATGATCTCCCAGTTGGAAACAAGTTGGGAAAGGAAGCACAATTAATTGAAGAGATTTTTAATATTCCTGGATTTTACTTGTTCAGAGTTTTGAGTGGGAATTTAAAATGAGCAAAAACCCCAGAATAATTTGTTGAACCTTGAATTTATCATGTGTTTTTCTTAACTCATTATAAACCAAACTCAAACTTTAAAAAGCTAAGTGACTTAGACTAAACCCAAAACAAACCTTGGACATACAATATAAGAATGAGTAGATGGAAACAATATCCCTAAGCCCAACACTTGCTGTAAAAGTAAGCATTGTCAACATTTCTCATCAAATTATTTCTGCTCATAAATAATAATAGTAATCCACCAAATAAAACAACAGAAACCATAATTGCTCATCTCACATTCAAATAGCTGACAAACTGTTTTGCAAGAAAGAGAAGCACACAAAAGGTAACAGGGAAATGTCTACTTTGTCTCAGTAGTCACTTTTCCCAAATACATTTGTTCTCCTTTTTCCTGACAATACATATATATATAAATCTAAGACGATGTTCTATACAAATTATGCATCCAATTAGTTTGTGTAAAGTATGTAGCTTCGTGGAGTAATTTGAGAAGTATACGAAGAAATAGGCTGAAGCAGGAGGGAAAAAAATGCAGCCAAGGCTCTGGCAAATAAAGTTTTCCTCGCCCTCACTGCCAATGCCCTGGCTTTCTTTAGTAATCAGATAGATTGATTAAAATAACTCTGGAGCTCCAACAGCCTACTAATTCCCAAAATTTAAAAACATGAAGTAGCATTGCTCCAAAACAAGAGCCAGCTCCACAGTCATCATTTTTTCTTATTTAATATTGTACGCATTTATACAAGGTGCTGGGTGCTACCTGTAACATAAAAAGAAATCCCATGCTCGCAGCATTATGTGTACAAAAGGGTATGATGCATTGAAGCATTATATCACCAAGTACGATCTTAGTGTCCCTAAATCATCTGTTTGAAACAATGCCAAAAGATTCTGGAGATTTAAGCAGAAAGAAAGAATAGTCAAAAATAATATACTGATGCTCTATAAATATTAATATTTAGAGTAAAAAGAAGTTGTTTTAAGCACAAGAAATGGCTAATCGACCTTACTTAAATATGGCAACCACAGAACACTGAAAAATAAAGTA